CCGGGTCCACTGGTGGAACCTCTTCTAACTGGTTCGGTAGATTTGATGAACCGGTTCTACCGAACTGTTGCGAACTGGTAGGAACCCACCTCTGTTGTGGATTTAATGTCATAAATAATCTGTTAAATTGAGGGTTTACTGTACTTTTAAAAAACATTTTCAAGGATTTTGTTTCTACTGGCTTTGTGGGTAAATAGAATAATTGCAATGAAATAAATCCCCTTTTAAAACAGCAGTGATCTTGAAACACCTGTCCATAAAATAGGGAGCCTAAATTGTAGAAAAGGAAAGTGAAAAACTTCCATTCTTTTAAAACTCATTTTTCAGTCTTATTATATCTTTAATGTCTAAGATACGTTACAATTTTTTTCTTTCCATATCCCACAATGTACATTTCTCAGAGTATTTTGTTTTTATTGTTGTTGTTTAGCTTTGTCTCCTAATAATTGTTAGCCATGTCTGATTTAAGGACACTGTATTTTTTTCCTGCTGGCTTATATCTTGAATTTACTTCTAGCTTTTATTTACATTTTTTCTTTGGTTCCCTTATTGTTCATGTCCTCTCTTGTCCATATCTGTTTTCTGTAAATGCTATGATGGTATGTGGAATTTCCCTGTGATTTTATCTTGTAAAGGGCTAGTACAGAAAATTTAAACCACCAAATAATAATAGCATACTATATAGAGTGTGCATAGGGAACAACAGCATCATTATAAATATCAGTCAACTGTATGGAGGGAAGATTGTGAAATGCAGTTCTTGATGCTTAAAAATAATTCCTTAATTTTTTATGGGAATTGGTTGTCTTATATTGCCTAAAGATGTTCTCATAGAAACCTGGCAACCAATAGAGTTGACCTCTTGCCCTGTGTCTATTAAGTGGGCATCTGTAGAAAAATCGTATTTCCAGTTAATTCAAAGACCATTATTTCACCAAATAGTAATTCCTTGCTATTATTTTATTTTTTTACTTACTTTAATATGCATTAGAACAGTGATGGCGAACCTTTTAGGCAAAGAGTGCCCAAACCAGAAGGCACGCGCACCAGAGCACCAGAAACCTGATGACCAGCTAGCCAGCGCGCATGCGTGCCTTGGAAACCCAACAACCAGCTGACTGAGCTGGGGCGATGGCACGCGTGCCCACAGAGAGCGCTCAAACGTGCCACCTCTGGAACACGTGCCATAGGTTCACCATCACGGCATTAGAATATTAGACACACACATACAAACAAACACATGGAATCTGAATATAACTTCTATGCACAATCTGGTTCATAGGGGCATAGTTCTTCATTCTCCTTTTGAAGAATTTGGCCTGTTACTCTTATGAGAACTTCAGAGCAACTTAATGATACATTTGATACATGTGAAATCAAGTGTCAATTATACTTTGGTAATAATCACTCCTATTTTTTTTTTTTTTAGAAGAATGGGTTCGTCCAATCATGAAGAGAGACAAACAAGTTCTTCTTCACTGGGGCTACTATCCTGACAGGTTTGCCTCTGTCCTCTATAACTACCTTAGCTTATGGAGAGGAATTCATATGGGTAGTTTTTAGCCACTACTTGTAAATGTAAACTCAATAATGAAAGACTGATTGTGGCGGAGTCTTAATTTTTCCCTTACTGTATCATGAAGCAGTATATGTAAATAAATATGAGACTTAACTGATGTGATTGTGGTGTGGGTGAGGTTCTGGAATCGAATCTTTATTCACTATGTGCTTTCTTTTACAGCTATGACACTTGGATTCCAGCCAGTGAAATTGAAGCCCCTGTGGAGGATGCTCCCACACCAGAGAAACCCCGTAAGGTAATGTGATAGGACGGACTTTGGGGTTGGGCCATTGCAGCACTGTCACCGCAGAACTTTAGGATGCTTCTAAAATAACAACTTCCTACTTTTTAATCCAGAAGTAGGAAGTAACTTCTTAGCTTTTTTCAGTTCAAGTCATCTGGGGATGCTCTTCTCTTCTCCTCACCACCAGGTTCACGCAAAGTGGATCCTAGACACAGACTCTTTTAATGAATGGATGAATGAAGAAGACTATGAGGTCAATGATGAGAAGAGCCCTGTCTCCAGGAGGAAGAAAATCTCTGCCAAGACGCTCACTGATGAGGTGTGATTTTTTTTTTACTAAAGCTTTTAGTCCTTATTCTAAAGGTTATTTGGGCTGAATGTTTTAAAAAAGGAAGGGACAAACTCGACCAAAATATTAGTTCTCCCATCTCTGGAATGGGCAAGGAGCAGGGATTCCCATGCTATAAGTACGTATATTGAGACCTTCAGCTGGAACACAGACCAACTCTAATAGATTGTCAAGAACAGTTAGATTGGTCAAACCCAGCAGAGTACTTGTATTTCTAAATTAATATGTAGAAGCATTTATCACAGTTAGGCCCTAGCTTTTAAGAAATTGCATTAATTTTCCTTTGGATATTTAAAAAATTGTTCAGTGATAAGCACAAGAGATTATTAATGTGGTGTAAGGAGGCAATTCACGGCTGCTGGCAAATTGTTTTGACTTCTCTCTTTCCAGGTTAACAGTCCTGATTCAGACCGAAGGGATAAGAAGGGGGGAAATTATAAAAAGCGGAAACGTTCCCCTTCCCCTTCCCCTACTCCAGAAGCAAAGAAGAAAAATGCCAAGAAAGGGTAAGGAGAGGGATATGTTTTTTTCTTGAATACCTGGATATGAAGCAACTCCCTCCAGTTCCTACCATATTTCTTAAAGTGCCTCATTTCTTAAGAAAAAATTAGCTTGTCCA